CAGCTGCTGCCATCTCAATGGCTTCACTCCATTCACTTCATGGCCCTTTGTTCACTTGCAGTTGCCTCATGGACAGCGAAGTCGAGGACTCCTTTTCAACCTTTGTGTTGCCAAGAGACGAGCGGGAGCCGGACAAGCTCAGGTTTGACCTGGATGCCTTCTGCTTCTATGGAGATGTGTTCCTTGGTAAGAGGAAGCTGCTGATTGATTGGCTTCTCCACATTGGGTGGGAGTCACTAAACACTGACTTGTGCTGAATGTGTCCCTCAGATTTTCATCACCTGTCACCTGAAAGTTGTTTCAGTGGATCAGGGAGATTCCAGGAACAAAGCTTGTACTTTCCAGAAGCTGCACAAGATGCAAGTGTCCCCCACTCACTGTCCCTTAGTGATGTTGGGGAGAGGTGATGCACCATGTGGTTAATGGGCTGTCTCCTGTCTAGCTGGATGCCATTGGAGGCATCAAACAGTGACATTTGTGCCTGTTGCCATGTGGGGAACTGTGGTAGCACAAGGGAGATCGTGCTTCCCTCCAGAGGAAGGACAGACCTTGGACCTGAAGCTGGTAGGTCACTGACCCACTCTGTTGGGGCTATACCCTGCTTTCCCTGACCTTAACTGTAATGTTTCTTCCTGCAGAGAGTGAAGCTGGATTGAAGTGGGAGAGTGAGGCCTCCCTTGGCCCCCTGCTCATTCTGGATCCTGAGCTGACCAACCTGGCAACTGAGCCCCTGACTGAGGTTGAGCAAAGGATGCAGGAGAGGTCTCCAGGTGGTGAGTTGTCTGACTGCTAGTTTCCCTCTTTGTCCCTGTTTCCCTCAGTAACCATTGGTTTCTCCTTGTTGTGTAGGTGTGCAGTCTGAGCTGGTTGTGATGGTGGCCCTGACAGTGACAGCTGCCTCCCTGATCTCTGCTTCACTGGCTTTGCTCCTGTACAGGAAACGCAAGCAGACATGATTCAACTGAAGAAATGATCAATAAAGCTTTGATTCCCAGTATCTTGTGTTGGGAGCAGGCTTTGTTTCTCTTTCCACCTTCATGGAATTTAACTAGCACTGGTCACTGCACGACTTTTATTTGGGATGGGATTGGGTTGACTCATTGTTTCATCCCCCTTTTCCTCCCCTGGAGATGGAGCGTTGTTACTTTTTAGTTATGCTTCTTACCTGGAGCATAAGTGTTTACATCCCACTGCTAATGCAAACCAATTTGTTCATTATTTGGAAAGCTTCTATTAACTGTTGACTGTCCAAATTTGAGAAATAGGGTACATGGCACTCCAGTGCATCAATGAACAATCTTACAAGGAAATGCAAATCTGCCTGCATTTTATCCTGAAACACTTGGTGAACCGTCAGATTGCCATGAGGGCTGTTCTTTATCCAGAGATGTCTGGCGTAGAGCATACCCTGCTCATGTCTGCTTTTGCAACTCTACCCTGATGGGGTCATGGGGTAGGGGTTGGGTGGGGCTGAACATCAGGGTGTTTGGTAGGTTTGGTTGCCCCAGCCCCCCACCCCATAATAGTCTGGAACTGTCTGGATGGCTGCTTGTGGTTCGGGAGGATGTAGTTGACTTGGCCAATGTGATTTGGAATTTAGTCAAAGGAAAGTGATTCCAATCTTTTGGAGGAAAAGTTGGATAGTTGTGTTCTCAAACACAACCATCACATGGGTAGCTGATAATACAGACATCTCATGCTCTTCAGACCAGTAGGTGTATCAGTGGGAAAAGCCAGATTGATCTGGCCAGGAGGCTGTTCCCACTTTGCAATGGCTGTGTGCATTGTCAAATGGAATGACAGGTCAAACTCAGTGACTGAGCAGTTTTGTGGGGCTGACAGCCTTTGCATCTGTCACTGTAGCTGTGACATGGGGTGCGCCCTTCAAGCCCAAACATTCCTTAATTATCCAGTCAATCCATGGCCCAAAAAGCCATGCTGTTTAACATGGCTGAGCTAACCACCCTGATCCCAACAGAAGCTGGTCCCTCTTGGAGGGGGAGTTGACATCTAGTGGGTTCTGTCAGTATTTAATTATCAATTAGATTATTTCATCAGTTGGAAGATCCTTTACTATAGGGGCTGAACAAAAAGTCTGCAGTCATCTCAATAGTGTTGGTCTTGGTACAGGAGATCTGACACACAGGAGAGAGCTGGGTGTGGTCAGGGTACATGGTAGGTAAGTGTTGGTCTGATGTTGCTGAGGATGGTTGTTACTGAGTCAGTATAACAAGTTAATTTGGAGGGTTTCAGACCTCAAATTGGAGATGAAAGGGTCACTGTTGTGGAAAGGTTAAAGGAGAGAATTGTCAGGGGTTGAGGTGGAGGCTGATTAGGTGGGGGTTGGGAACAATCCCTCAAGTGAGGGAAATATAAAATACATGGCAGAGGCAGTATAATATGGACAAATGAGTTTCTCCAATTTTGTAGAATCCTGCCTTGCTGTTCTTAACTGACTCTAAACAGAATGAGAAAGGAGGAGGTACAATGAATCCTGTGTCCATGTAAACAAGTTGCCGAAAGTCTGCATGAAGGTGTGGCAGACAGTGACAACAAATGGCATGTTGCTGCTCTGTTTGGAAGGACAGAAGTAGGGATGCCTTGCTGTAACTATACAGGGCCTGAGTGGCCACACCTGGATTATTGTGTGCAGACTTAGTCTCCTTTCCTGAAGAATGATGTTCTGGCTATGATGGAATGCAGCAAAGATTTACCAAACAGAGTCCTGGGTTTTCAGAATTGAGGAATGGAGACTGAACCAGTTAGAGCTACATTAATTGGCATTGAGGTGCCAGTGTTGGAGGGTGGATAATGTCAGGTCACACAGCACCAGGTTATGGTCCAAAAGGTTTATTTCAATTCACAAGCTTTTGTGGTGCTCGTCCACCGAGTGCGCTTCACCTGACGAAGGAGCGGCACTCAAAGCTTTGGATTTCAGGCCTGTTGGACTATAACCTTCTGTATGGTGACTTCTCCAGTGAATATACATAGTTTAGAAGAATAAGTAGGAAATCTCATAGAAACCTGTAATATTCTAACAGGACTAGGCAGGGTAATGCAGGAAGGATATTCCCAACGGCCATGGAGTCCAGAAACAGGGATCACATGTTAAGGAAATGGGATAAGCCATTTAGGGCTGAAGTGAAGATAAATTTCTTCACCCAGAGACTGAGCCTGTAGAATTGTTTGTAGCAGAAAACAATTGAGACCAAAACATTGTATTCAGGAAGGATACAGATTGGCAGAGTCTCAATTTCTCATCAAACCATAAGAACTGTAGTAGGCTGCTTTGCCCCTCGACTGTGCTCCACCATTTAATAGGACTGTGGCTGATCTGACATCCTCTTTCTGACATTTTCCCTATAACCCTTGATTACCCTACTGATCAACAATCTACCTATCTCAGCCTTAAATATACACAGTCTGCCCCCACAGCTCTCTGGGGCTAGGAGATCTGAAGGCACTGAACCCTCTTAGGGAAGAAATTCCTCTCCATTTTAGTCTTAGGACTTTAATCACAAAAGGACACCTTTGTCTACAGCCTTCTGGAATTTCAAATACAACACATCTACTGGGTTTCCCCCCTTGCACTCTGGTTCAGGCTTTGCCAAAAACCTGGAATAAATTCCACTTTTGTCAAGTTCTGCTGCCTCTGCTTGATTTAGAGTATGATTTTGAAACTGTTGTGCATTACTTAAATAATTGATTCCAATACATCTCCAGCAATTGGCCTATGCCTATAGAACAGTATAGTACCAAAACAGGCTATTCTGCCAATGATGTTGTAACAATCGTGCCACCAAATTAAACTAATCCTTTCTGCCTGGTCCGTATCCTTATTTCCTGTATATTCATGTGTTTATCTAAAAGTCCAATAATTGTACCTGTAACACTTTGGCAGCATATTCCAAACTCCTACCACACCCTGTGCAAATAAACTTGTATGTCACATCTCATTTGAACGTTATCCCTCTCACCTTAAATGCATGACCCTTGGAGAAAAAATTCTTGCCAACAAGCCTATCTAGGCATCTCAATTTTATAGATGTCTATCAAGTTTCCCTCAGCCGCCTTGAAAATGGTTTTGCTAGCCCCTCCTATTGCCTCCCCTCCTTTCTCAATAGGGGTATCACATTGAGAGTTTTTCCATCTTTTGGTACTTTGCCAGAATGCAATGAGTTCTTAAAAATTTCAACCAACACATCCACTATCTATGCAGCGAAACCTTTTAGGAGCCTCACATGCAAGTCATCAGGGTGAGGGGATAATTCAGCCATTAGTTTGTCTAATACTACTTCCCTAGTGATGGCAATGGGACTTAAATACTCCCCCATCTCCTTTAGTGTTAGTGGAACATGCAAAGTAACTTCTACTAGAAACACTGATGGAAGATATCTATTGAACCCCTCTGCCATTTTCAAGCTTCTCCCATTACTTACTCAAGGTTTGTTTTCTAAGGGGCCTATGTTTACTTTGAATTCTTTGTATATCTAAAAAAAGTTGTCATTTTTTTCTATTCCTTGCTAATTTGTCCTTGCAATTTATTTTCTTGGTCTTTATTAGGTTTTTAGTCCTCTTTTTGCTGGATTCTGAATTTATCACTGACTTTCGCCTCCCTAAATGCTTTTTCCACAATTTGATACTCTCCCGAACTTCCTTGGTCAGAGAGGTTTGGTTTATCCATCTCTCAGAATGTTTCCTCTTCACTGGCATGTATTATGAATGAGGGTCATGCATTACCTCCTGAAATCTCTACTTTCTTGCTTTTCTATCAAACAGTTTATATTTCCTCAATCTGTCCTTAATTCATTGTAATTCACTTTATTCAAGTTAAAGGGTACGGCGAGCAAGTAGGAACGGGGATGAATTGGATCATCAGTCACAAAGGACCAAAAGGCCTACCCCTTCTCCTATTTGCTATGTTTCTATGTTACTGAGAGTATGTTCTCTGGTAATAGGCTATTCCACAAGGATAAACAACCTTCCTGCATCTACCTTGAGAATCTCCCTAATAATCTCTTATTTTTCAATAAGATCTTCATTCATTCTTTCTTTCTTTAAATTCTAATGAGTGTAAGCCCATTGAACTCAACTCCTCATGAGAAAATACTTCCATATTTATCAGCCTGGTGAACCTTCTCTGGCCAGCTTCCAATGCCAGTATACTGTTCCTCAGATAGAGACCAAAATTGTTCACAGTATTCGACATGTGTCTTGTATTCTTTTAGCAAGACTTCCATATTTTTGTTTCCTCTCAAATGAAGGATAACATTCCATTTCCCTTTCCTGTGACTTGATGAATTTATATGTAAGCTTTTTGGGATTCATGCAGGAAGATTCCCAAATACCTCCTGTTTCCCCTTTATCCAACCTGTTGTGTCCTCATCAAACGACGAGGCAATGGCCTATGGTATTATCACTGGACTGTTAATCCAGAGACCCAGATGTTGATCTGCGGACACAGGTTCAAGTCCTGCCATGGCAGATGGTGGAATTTGAAAACAATTAGACTTTAATGATGACCATGAACCCACTGTTCATTGTCGGAAAATCCTATCTGGTTTACTGATGTCCCTGAGCCAAGGAAACTGCCATCCTGGTCTGGCCTACATGTGACTCTAGACTGCCCTCTTGGTAATTACGGATGAGCAATAACTGGTGTCTGGTCAGCTGTGCCCTCATCCCATGAATGAATTAAAAAAAAATCAACTTATGTAGGCATAATTCTCCCTTCATGCAGCCATGCTGTCTCTATTTGATCATATAATGT